AATATGCGTTGGGCTCATTTTCTCATTAAACTACCTTGCTATAAATTAGTGTTTGTTCAATTAGTAGCTTGTAGTGTCATATATTTTTATACTGGCTATCTTTCTGCTGCTTTTATGTACATTGACTGCCTCATCATTGATCACTATTTTATGTAATCCTTACCACCTGTGCCTCGTAGTATCACGCCGCTTTTGTAGGATGCACATAGGGGTGTGGCAGTCATGTAATATTGAGGATAGTGTTAAAGTGGAAGGTTTACACTATTCCAGGGTTCACCGCTCCGGTGCCGGACTTCGCTGATATTATTTGGACTACCCTACAACAACTTACCATCTACGCTACGACGACCACCGGACTACCCTAGTGGCCGACAAAGCATTCGCCGATCTATCAGGGCAGTGGTATTGATTGATGGACTTTTCACGTGTTGGTCTTAGTGAATATTAAAGAACCCACTTGATCGTATATCTTTATATTTTATTATACCTTCTTATCATAATAGCAGCTGTTTTATTTACCTGACGAGGAAAAGTTGTTACAATGAGACTATTGCTGAAGCTGGAATACTTACTATGGTATTTGGGGGATGTCGTTAAATCTGTTGAATTCAGCAACTTTAAGGACAGGTAAATAAAGTAAATTCTCAGGGTGCTTGCATATTTTTGGGTGTACCGCAAGGCTCAATACTAGGTCCATTCTTATTTTTAGCATACATAAATGACTTGCCCCATTTATTTAAAAATGAACCGTAGTTGGTATTATTTGCTGATGACACTCCATTACTTTTTGAAATAGATAGACGAACAAATAATTATAACGACGTAAATATTGCCTCGTTGACCAAGTGGTCGCAAGGACGACGGGCAAGGGTTTCGGGTTCGATTCCCGGGTTGGGCAAAGTATGACTGAGTTTTTTTTTAAATTCTCAGTAGTAGCACAGAGACTGGAATTGTGCCCGGTATATGGCAATAGGCTCACCCCCTATTACATGGGACTCATAACATAAATAGTGAAAAGTGGGTGTTACATTGTACAATGGTATAATGTGCATCTCTGCCTACCCGTTCGAGGATAAAAGGCGTGATGTTATGTTAAATAATGCCCTAATGGAGGTTCAAAATTGGTTTACATTAAATAACTTAGTACTAAACGATAAAAAGACAAAATGTATTAGATTTGTTTTGCCAAACGTTAAAAGCAACCATAATCTGTCTGTTAATCCGTTTGATAATTTGAATACATATAAACTAGACACTCTTCTAAATTAACTAAAATTACTCACGTAAATATACATACTGAGAAAGGCTCTAAGTAGGCTACGCGACATCGCCGCGACCGCGCACGCTGCTTATGAGGAAGAACCCCTCTGGTTCGAAACTAGTAGAGCTTTTCTCAGTATATTCACGTGAGTAACCCGCGATTTTTACTTAATTTAGTATAATAATTTTAAACTCTTCTGTTTCGTACAGTTATCACCATATCAGCCACACTCTATCCACTGCCTCACAAAGTCCTCCCCGAATGACTACACATCGCGAGGTTGGAAGTGACCTGCATCCAGTTTCATTTAATATGGCTGCTATAAACCACTTGAAAGTTTAACATGGAATGTAAACAAGGACATCATAATGTAACCACTAGTAACTAATAATGAGTGTGGGAGACCCATGCTTTGGCACGAATAGGCCGGCTCGACCGGAGTGATACCACGGCCGAGCAGAAAACCATCGTGAATCAACGCTTCCGTTGTGTTTCGTCGTTTGGGTGGGGTTACTGAAGGCCCAATTACCACTCTCCCCAATCCCTGAATACCGAATAATCCCCAAAGGCCAGTAACGCACTTGTACCACCTCTGGTGTTCCAGGTGTCCATGGGCGACGCAGATTGCTTACCATCAGCCATCAGGTGATCCGTTGGCTCGTTTACCGACTTATCCCACAACAAAGCAAATTGTAACTAATAGCTCACAATTTCATTTAGTGACCGTAAGCTTTAACTAGTTTCTGCCAGCAGTTTCACTTCGATACTAACTAGGATATATAATTCTTTTAAACCTTATGGTAAACTTGATGGTAAGTGGTTACCATGGCCTATGAAATCTTGCATCACTTGCGTTGCCGACCTTTAAAAAACCTTAAAATGTAGCCTTTGTGTTATCTCTGACTTCAATCTATATCAGTGTCAAATTTCCAGTGATCTTTTTCAATAGTTTTGGCTTAAAGAGTAACAAATGAACAAATTTATTCATCAATACTTGAAATCATTTGCATTTTTTACAATCAACAAGAAAGGGGTAGGCAAATGTGCATGATTTTTTTAAGTGTGGTAAGTCTTCGAATTACTTCTCCCGCCTGGCTGAGGCGGAAGGGAGTGTCTGACTCTTACTAACTAAAAACCAACCTATTCCTACTCCTACATACTTTCGAGCCGTAGCCCCGGTAACCTATTATATGGCACTGCCACTGTACAATGTAACACCCACTTTTAACTATTTATGTTATAAGTCCCATGTAATAGGGGGTGAGCCTGTTACCATATACTGGGCACAATTTTAGACTCCGTGCTAATACTGACAATGTTTAAAAAGCCCAGCAATAATTTGCCTGACCCGGCAATCGAAACCGAGACCCCTTGCCTGGCTATTGCACTTGCGACCACTCGACCAACGAGGCAGTTGTATTGTACTAAAAATATTAAGAATTAACTAAAAATGAGATTGTCAACAAGTATGTTTGTGTACAGAAACATTTTTTTCATGATTCAATGGCTAATACCAATATTGAATCTAATATTATCACTAGTTCACATTGTTGTTGAGTTACCATGAATAGTAACAGATGGTTTCATTACTTATGTCAATAGATTAACATCAACCCAGTTTGTTTTCAAGTTCAATGTCATTTTGTTAGCTTCATTTAGTTAAGATAAGGTAAATGATGGAATTTTGGACAAAAATGTGGGCATAGAGAAGAATAATAACAATAGAAAAGGCCACCATGGTCATATGGCTGCTAACAATAGCATAACCCCATGGAATGACAGAAACACATTATTATTATTAACTAACTATCCCATGATAGCCAAAGTACAAAAAATATCATGTATCAAAAAGGGTAATACGTCCATCAAATTTCCTTTTGCCTAATAATCGCTTCAAAACATCGTAGTTACTTTTTAAACTCAAACAGTAAACAAAGTGACGCATTGACAAGAAAACATGACAAAAAAACACCACATGGTCAAAACAATGCTTTGTTATAAATACTTGAAATAATAAATAACCTCAAAAACTAGTTATAAATAGATAGAAACCAAGAGAACACAACAAACCTTTGGTCAATAAGCATAACTTCATTTTCACGGATTTCAAGCTCATTCAAAAATTCCCGCCGGATAATTTCCTTTATTTTATCAACTTTCTCATCTTCTGACAAGCTTGGCGGCTCCTCCTTCACGCAGACCGGAGCGTCAGGGTAATCAGGATCATGATATTCCTGCTTAGGCTCCATTTCTAACAATTTTTACGGTAAAAAATGAGTAACGCCCAACAAGCGTCGTCCTATAGTTACAATGTTTTACACTAATCTTTGAGTCACGGCACTTTTGTTTTTGGTTGTTTATCACATTTATTCACAGCACGATAAGGTGGGATGTTTAAACTAACACTGTTTTATAAAAAACTATTGTAGTATTTAACCAATTTCCGCATTTGACAGTGAAAAGGTCAACAGCCGATTCATTCAAGTTTTCAGCTTTTTTTTAATGTATTCGAGACAAGGCACTAGACAACCTATAGATAGACAAACATTATCGAAGATTTTTTGTGATGTTATCACTCACTTTAAAATAGACGAGTGACTTTGTACTTGTACCTACTTGAGTTGATTGAGACTTTCGAGGCAGTGAACCCAAACAACAATGCAACAAAATTGCAGCACATTATTCTATTAAACGGTCAATAAAATCAGCACATGGCTCCGACACGTGCTCCCTAGTGTTCCTACAAACTTTACTGCAAGTACAATATTTTCTATCCAACATCCTGCTTGTGTTTTTCAAAAAACAACCTAATAGAAACAATAATAAACGCCAGTAACGAAGACCTCTTCTTTATAACTTTCCAAAATAATTTTATTTTAAAAAATATTCACTGGCAACACCGATGTTTTCACAACAATTTTTCTCGCAGACAACAATTCTAGAAACTGTCAAGTTTGTTACGTTGACGTTTTTTTTGCGAAAATCCTTTCTTTATTTTACTAGAATTGTAATAAAATCTAAAACGGCCTCCAGTAACGGGTCGCCGTCGCGTGGACAAAGGAGCATCGACCGTGATGTAAAGGCTCGCGGGGACGAGCACGCGCCTATGTCAGACTCGCAGTCACAGGGCCCCGAGGCCATGAGTGAGCGACGTCCCTTTTTCTATCCAGACAGTAGTAGTGATACGGAGGAGTACAGAAGGGACGAAGAGCGTCGCAAGCGGCTATCTAAGCGCACTGGTCCGAACATTCGAACGCGTCCTACGATGCCACCTAAGAATTTGAGCACGAATGCCCCGACACCATCGACGTCGACGGCACAAGAGCCCCCGAGGAATGGACAGAAGAGTCAGATTCAGCTTGGCGAGGACCGGATTACTCTAGTGGTGGACAATACGAGGTTCGTGGTGGACCCCGCGCAGTTTACCGCCCATCCGAACACTATGTTGGGCAGAATGTTCAGCTCTGGTGAGTTCTTTATTTGAATTTTTTCAACGACAATTTATTGGTATTTTTTAAATTCGCGTTGATTTCGTAATGAAGTTGGAAAGTTTTAGCAGGATTATATATGCATTTAAAGTTATTTTTTGTAACTTTATTGGCTTTTAATTTTTCATTGACTTTGTAGAAACTTTTGAAAGTTTACTTTTCTGATATAGTCTACAACAACAATTATAATAACTTTTACTTATGTCTTGCACAGTATTTTGAAATCTTTTTGCATTATTTTGTTCATCATTTGAATAATAGAACAAGTTTTCAAATTGAAGTTCATTAGACAAATTCCTGTTTTGATATTAACTTAGGTTTTACTATAGAAATCTCTAATTTTATACAAATTATTATGTAGACTAGAGAATTCAACAAACTAATTTTAAACAAAATAATTTTAATGTTATTCCATTGTGTTGCAAATACTTGAAACATAAATAAACAGTAAAACAAATATTTCCTAATGTTATGAAATTTTTTCTATTTATTGAAGGAATTATTTATAAAACATCTATTGATCTATACATACTTCACTTAGATAAAACATTTATATCTGATTTCTGAAATATATTGGAGAATCTGTGTTAACAGATCAGATTGATTTTTGTATAGTTTTCATCAATAGACTATAATAAAATTATGGTTATGACTAGGTACATGAATCAACTGCTCAATCCCCAAGTGGTCACCAGTGACCACTCTCCAGACCTTATTTCCGAAGTTTACAGATTACTTTTGTATGAACAAATTGGTGACCACTCTCCATTAAAGACCTTATTTCCGAAGTTTAGAGTTTAGTTATCTATGAACAAATTTTGGGCATGATATATCAACATACACATGGTAAACCGGAATGTAGATCTACAAAGTATTTTCTGTTGTGTCTTATATACGGGCAGTCAAGAGGCTGGCTTTTATGTACCTGCACCTGTAATTCAGTTAACTATATCCTCTTGTCTGTTAAAAGTTGCGGCCATAATATGTTTTATACCGGGAGCCTGTGTTTCAACAGATAAGAGGATAAATAAATGTTAAAACTCATTTAGTGTTTATTAAAAACTACTTAATTAAGTTTCTTGTTCTTAATTTACAGTAATTACGATAATTGGCTTTTGTGAAACAGATGTTTTTTTCTAACAGTTATATTGGACTTTTTTTCTTTTCTTTTTTGAGAGGGGAAAATCAACCAATGACTTCTCCCGCCTGGGTGAGGCGATAGGCGGTGTTAGACTATTTCTGACTAAAAACCACCCAATTCCTACTACTGCACTTCAAGCCAGGGCCTCGGCAACCTGTTAAGCCCTCCGTGGCTTCATATCGGCATCAACCCTATTGGGCCCCATCTGTGGTGGTCTGATGGCTCCTTGAAGCTTGCAGTCAATTAGCTATGATTAAGTATGCAATGAAATAGTTTATTCGAAAAGAAAATTGCCCCATGCTAGGATTTTGTCCTGTGTCGTGGGTGCGTTTACAAACATACAATTTCATATACATATGACACCCAGACTTGGAACAACAATTTGTGGATCTGTTTGTTGCCCAGCCACCTACTGACCACTGACACTTTGGTTTGAGTCCCGTATCAACATGATTGCATGATTGGTGCGATGGCTGAGTAAACGGAGCAACTCTTTGTGTGATCCACAAATTGTTGAGCGAGTGAGAGCGCGTGGAAGTAGCTAGTATTTTATATACGGACAAACAAAAACCCATTTGTAATGGTATATTTACGGAATTTTCCAGAAAATTTATATTATTCAACTAATGTTAGTCATGGTGCAAACGATCTCAATTCTTAGTACTTAAACGTGAGTAATTTGTTAAAGAAAGTGGTCTGACGCAATTTAACAGTTCTTGTAGGTGTTTCCCCATGAATAATATCACACCTTTTTATCCCTGAAGGGGTAAGCAGATGTGCTTAATTAGAGATACAGTCACTTTTCATCAGTACGAGTCTCTGATAATAAGAAGGGGTCAATCTATTGCCTTATGCTGGCACAATTCCAGACTCTGTGCATGTATGCACTTACATAATTATTGAGGTATTTACGAAAAAAAAATTACAAAAATTCTTTGCACGGCTAGGAATCGAACTCATTGCTAGGCCTTTGCACACGGCTGACATCGAATGACTTCTCCCGCCTTGAGTTAGGCGAGACGGAGCCTCAGTCAGACTCTTACTGACTAAAAACCACCCCATTCCTACTCCCGCCCTTGGAGCCGGAGCCCCGGCAACCCGTTAGGCCTTCCGCGGCAAATGTGTAGTTCCTAAGTCGTGTATACGACACCCGCCGTCACCCGCGGGAAGAGAAGGATGATGACAAATGTATTCTGCTCTGAGGTCAATACACGGCACGTATTTATTATTTCCCGTTAATTGCCCCATTTCTCTCAGTATGAGTTTACAATAACCGATGAGTCACTTGTAGGTCTAAAATGTTTACCATCGGTTCATTGGTTAGAGACAATACTCGTCTTCGTCCTAATTAACCTACATTTGTTTTGGTTTATTTTCTTAAACGTATTTTTATATTACGGCTATATCCTTGTTGACTGGACAATCTCTGCACTACATTAGTCACTGTTTACATGTGAACATTAGCTCATGACGATACCTAAGTACGTGTGTCGCCTGGACAGTCTACGCTACATCCTTGTTGACTGGACAATCTCTGCACTACATGAGCTGCTGTTTACATGTGAACATTAGCTCATGACGATACCTAAGTACGTGTGTCGCCTGGACAGTCTACGCTACATCCTTGTTGACTGGACAATCTCTGCACTACATGAGCTGCTGTTTACATGTGAACATTAGCTCATGACGATACCTAAGTACGTGTGTCGCCTGGACAGTCTACGCTACATCCTTGTTGACTGGACAATCTCTGCACTACATGAGCTGCTGTTTACATGTGAACATTAGCTCATGACGATACCTAAGTACATGTGTCGCCTGGACAGTCTACGCTACATCCTTGTTGACTGGACAATCTCTGCACTACATGAGCTGCTGTTTACATGTGAACATTAGCTCATGACGATACCTAAGTACGTGTGTCGCCTGGACAGTCTACGCTACATCCTTGTTGACTGAACAATCTCTGCACTACATGAGCTGCTGTTTACATGTGCTAATTTAATTATATCGATTCATCACGACAGAAGATTCGTGGGCCGAAAATAGATAACTGCGCAGGATGATTCTTCTATTATTGTATTTATAATACACGAATACAATTCCAAAAGTTTACATGAAGCATGTCTGTTACTTAATCACATCAAAATGGCTGAATATGATTACCTTAGAGATAGGCAGATTCATTCAGTAGAATTATGATATTCAGTAAGCTTACTCACGTAACTATTTGACAACGAAACTCAACAAGTTACAAGCCAAGCTAGGGGCTCATATTCATAAGCAACATTGGACAACTTGACGAGGCAAAGTTGCGCAGTCAATCGAAACTGGGTGGTTTATTAATCATCATCAACAGCTTGGTAAAAAAGAGCTTTGAATAATTGGAGTTGCTAGCATCGTAAGTACCTGTGGCATCCTGGTACACTACGACTCAATCGGTTTCGATATATGCATGCATGATGCATGGGATATGTTCCGAAGTGGGCGATTCAGTCCAAAATGAATATTAGTTCGAACTGTCACCACGCAAACTCTTTTTGGTGAAGCTGTATGTGATCCTAGGTCAGCCCTTACTAATGTTGCCATTAACATCAACTTCATCCACAATCCCTAATCTCCAAAATACCAGCATTGCACATGTAACGGTTAATTAACTTCCCTGGTGTTGCGGGTGTCCACGGGTGGCGTTGATTGCTTACCATCAGGTGACCCGTCTATACCACCTGTACGTTTGCTGGCCTATTCCACAAAATTCTTATACGTTATACCTTTGGTAAACTCAGTTTTCTTAGGTGTCGTGGTGGCCCGGAGGTTTAAGTCGCCACTTCACGCATGAAGTATGAGGGTGTGGGTTTGAAATCTACCAGCAGCAAATACTAATGTCACGTTTTCCGAGTTATATGTACTTTCTAAGATTGTTTAGACACCACTGACAAATGGTGAAGGAAAACATCGTAAGGAAACCAGCAGCTGTAGCCAAATGTCATTTAGCGCTTGTCTACATGTAGAATAGAAAACCAAACTAAACGGAATTGACGTAAATTTTGACACTTGTCAGTGTCGTCCCCATACATTTTGATTTCTACTCTCTCTGTAGACAAGCGCTAAAGTGGCGTTTGGCTAAAGGCATTAGCTCTTTTTCTAATTATAAGTTTCAAATCGCCAACCCGTATTCAGCAAGGGCGGTGATTAATGCTCAAACCTTCTCCGAGCGGGAAAGAGGCCTTTGGTCATCAGTGGACACTTATAGGCCACTAATGTGATGTAACGTGATATGAATCTTACTTTCATACTCAAAATACTACCTAAATAGATATTTCTGTCGCGGAGAACCTAATGGGCTACCGGGGCTCCGGCTCGACGTGCAGGAGAAGGAACGGGGTGGTTTTCAGTCAGTAAGAGTCTGACACTAAAGGCGGTAGCAGTAATTCGATTATTTTTCCCCCCTTAAAAAAAATAGATATTTCTACTCTCATTCTAGAATAGACTTGACATTATCAAGTAAAGGACGAATTTTTCTAAGTCACATGATAAAAGATAAAGCAGAATCTTTATCATCTGGTCCACTGGACTGATTTAGATATTATTTGTAAATATGTATTATCATCTTGACATTATGTTTTGTATCATAGTTACCTCTTTCTATTTTTATCTTACGTTTTCTAATATGTAGTACAAACGAAGTCGAACACAGTTCTGAGCTCTTCGGAGTACTATCTCTACCGACTTCCGAAAATCACGTACCCAACCCTACTAAACTAGATGCCTATTAGATGATCATTAGACACGTATTTTTTATTTTCTTACAGAAACGAATACTTTCAACGATATATTC